CTGGAAGAAGGCGCGTGAGGCCCAGTCTCTGCACGCGCCGCCACGCGCCGTGAAGACAGTCGGCGCGTCGTCCCAGTCTCAGCCACGCGCCCCACGCGCGGCTGAAGGAAGAAGGTGTGTGGGAGTAGCGCGTGTCCACCACGCGCACGCCATGTGGGCCCACGTCAGCAGCGACGTGTCAGCCACGTCATCAGCCACGTCAGCAGGAGTTACCACGTGGTTGCCACGTTATCAGCCAGGTCACCGCCACGTGGCCAGCCACGTCATCGACACGTGGCCATAGAAGCATTGCCACGTCAGCACAGGTGTGCCACGTGTCTGCCACGTCAACAGTGGTGTTGACCAGTCAACCAGAGGCAGGTAGGGATCCTATGCAATGCGGCAATGGTGCAGCCGCAGGAGGAAGGATCCAGTGCTTCGCGGCTAAGTACAGCCGCAGATCTGAGGCGTACAAAATGTTGTGGCTATATCGAAGCCATTTGGAGTCCGGTTTTGGTGATCCAATAGTGGTTTCCGACTATTTGGAGTATTCCGGACACATCCGTACGGTCCGATTTTGGAGACGGAGTTTCTGTAAAAAGAAGGCAGATTAAAGAGACGAACGGCATCAGGTGCAGCGGACGGAATATTCTGTTGGAACACAGAATATTCCCTGAACTTCTGAAAATTGCAATTTGGCCCAGAATTTTCAAAAAATTGTGGTGTGGCCCAGCTTTCGGGGATAGTTTTCAGTGAGGTCCCCGGAAATACAGCAAAGGTTGGTCCTAGCTAAACGGACCGCTCCGGACGCAACCGCGAGGTCAGAATAGTGAAATTCTGAACGGTTTTGAAAGATTGTCAAAACATGGGAGTTTGTCATCTTCAATAGTCGAAGGAAGGTTGCTGGATATTGTGGAACGCTGCGGATTCACTGAAGAGGTTAGAATGGGCAGATTCTGACCAGATTGGACAACCAGATACAGATTGAGATAGATCATTGAAGACCAGAGGAGATCAGGCTTGATCAAATGGCAAATCAAGGGAGATCAGGATTGGTCAGGGGTGATCAGAGGATTGCAAAGATGATTATCTCCGGAGTTCGTTGGAGGATCTGGTTCAATCAAAAGAGAAGACCATTCATCGACGGATAGATGATTTGGCAACCAGTTCAGGCTCAAGGAAATGTTGTGGCTGTTGGAGCTACTGTATACGAGTAAATACTGGTGGTACGTGGACGTGTAGAACAACAGTTGCAGAGGAGCATACTAAGCGCAGAAGCACAAATGCAGACGTGCAGCAGTGCAAGGGTACGCTAGAGTGTTGTACAGAGGCGCGAGAAAAGTGTGCAGCAGCAGGTTGGTGACAGTTCACAGGAACTTCCAGACAGAGAAATTGAGACAGGTAAAACGCAAGAGTGCGTGCCAAAGAGTGGCAAGTCTTATTTCTCTATGGTGTTTTCTTTAGTTCCATGGCAGCAGATGATAGAGTTGATGCAGATCTCTCAAGCAAGCTTGACGCAGGGAGACCAGAAGTCATGGGTGCGAGCACTATGTACGGAGTTGCATAGTGGTAACTTGTACAGACCGGTGGAAGTTGTCTTGGCAGAAGGGCTAACTGTCAAACATCAGTACGGACGTATAAGTGAGACAGAACCGAATATCAGGGATTGCAGTACAGACAACGGGCGTATGAGATCGCTGAGAAGTTGTTCTGAAGTGCAGAAAGCAAAGGCTGGTTGTTCAGAAATAAGCTCCGAGCAAGGAAAATTGAGGATGTTAATGTGTCAAACTCTGAAGTTTTCTAGTTGCTCCCGTGTTCATCATGCAAGGAGTTGCACGGTAATGCATAACAGTCAAGGGCATCCCAGCAGGGGGTGCAGGACATCCAATCAGGGGGTATCGGATATCTTGGTTGCGCAAGTTCAAGCATAGCAGGTATAGACATCCGAGACAGAAGCGTGAAAGAGATCTGTGGGAGATAGGAGCAGAGGCTCTCTCCAAATCAGAGAGTGGTGTGAGTTGAGTTGAGGATGTAGGATTCCCTCCTCCTCTTGTATCTCTAGTGTATTATCTCTAGCTTTCAAGGGATGCAGCGTCTCAGTGAGAAGATGCAAACTGTGTTTGGGCGTGACAAGATTAATAGCAGTGTGTGCAGTGGATCACCTCACATGGGTTGAGGGGGTGATTTGTTAGATATCATCCCATGTGAGGGGTGATTCCCTTCACATGTGAGTGCACAAGCTTGCCAACCTACAAAGTCAAGAAGGTGATCATTTCCCATGTGTTGGCCATGTGAAAGAAGCTTCAACATGTGGAGAAGGAGCTGGCCATGTGCAAGGACAGCCAAGCTCTCCCTATTCTGTTAGTGTATAAATGGAGGCTGAGGGGAGAGTTTAATTGAGAGAGTGAGAAATGTGAAGCGGAGAGACCGTCTCCCTCGGTGTGAGCGAGGGAGACGGGTGAGTGGGTGAGTGAGGAAAGTGTGAGCTCCTCCTCTATTGTAATCTTTCTGTAATATCTCCATTGTTATAGTGATAACCGGCTACTCTCCCGTGGACGTAGGCATTGAGGCCGAACCACGTTAAATATTGTGTCTCCTTGAGTGTGGGTGTGTTTTTCTGCATGAAATAATTTCTATAAGGTCTTGGGCGGGATCCCAGATCCCAACAATAATTTCCATTGAAGATTGATCGCGCTTCATCAAGCTCTTTATTCCTAATATACCCATTAACCAAAGTAGTCCAAGAAATAATATTCTTCTCAGGCATCATCTCAAAAGCTCTCCGAGCCTCACCTGATAATCCTAACTCCATATAACCCAAAATCAACGCATTCCACGATGTGACATTTTTTGCTAAAATTTCATCAAACACTAGATATAAACCTTTGCTATGTCCCAAATCAGTGTAACCTCTCATCAATGAGGACCCAACAAACGCACACGAATTTAGTGCTGAACAGAGTGCAAGGCCATGGAGTTGAGGGATCAAAAGGTTAAATCCCGTGTTTGTAAGCGCGCTGATGACTATCGAAAAGGTGAAATCATTGGGTCTCAATCCATATCTTCCCATACGTAGGAAACAATGGTAGATTCCTTGTGGGTTTTTGATCTTGTGCAAACCAGATAACATGGCGTTCCAAGAAACAACGTCTCTTAGGAGCATTTGATCGAACAAGTGTTGAGCGTGTTGGATTTGGTCGTGTTTTATGTATCCGGAAAACATTGAATTCCAAGAGACGACGTCTCTCGAAAAGGGGTTTCGGTCAAACAGTTTGCGAGCATCGTTTATATTTCCCTCACGAATGTAACCGTTGATCGTGTATTCAGAGTAGCCGTTGAAATAGTACAAATGTGGCTGGAAGTTACAAGCAGTGCCCTGCCTAGAGTGCGCATTGGGCGCAATACGACTCCTCGACCTCCCCAGTTCGGTGGCCTAAGTGGGGACAAGTCAGAAATATAACAACCTTTTGTCGTGAATACCAACCATAATATCATTTTATTTTCATTTCATTTCATTTCATGGATAAAAAAAAACTCTCTCCAATTTAGATATTAAATTTGGTAAGTCGTCTTACCCAGAAAAAAGACTATAATCTTGGCCAGAAAATGAATAGTGCTATATGTACTAATTTATATATTAATTAATAGATTAACGGATGATATAACATAATTTTAAAGATTTTAAAATTTTATAGTTTGTATAATAGGTGGGGACATAGTATTGAAATGACAATAATGTCATAACATATGTTGATAGACTAACTGGTATACCAATTAGTATGTGTAATATCACTACCAAAAAATAGATATAAAAAATTGAGATTGAATTGATGTATTGTGAAGTTTGTACTTGAATATATATTTGATCATTGTGAATAAATATTCTTAATATGCTGTATTGTTGTATTAATTAAATTTCATAAAATTGGGTGAAAATTATATGTTAAAGGTGAACTGAGGAGAGATTGAAATCAGTTTCTCAAATGAAGTAGATTTCTCAAATTAAGTAGAAATTTGATTTACACATTCCCCATGATAATCTCAATTTTTTTGAAAAAATTGAACCATTGAAAAAGAAGGGAAAAAAAAGGAAGATGAAATTACAATATTAATTTTTTTTTTTTCATTTTAATTTTCTAATAGAGAATTCCTAGCTAAACCAAATATTTGAATAACATTGGTAAAATAATTTTATTAGTAGTAATAGAATCTTGATAATAATTTTTTTTTTTCTCTTAGATTGATGCCATCCAAAATCAGAGTATTGAATAGAGATTTTAAAAAAATAAAAATAAAAATTGTGAAATTCTTGTACAAAGAGAATTATTCCTGAAATGATTTCAAAATAACTATATTCAATAGGTTATTTTAAGTCTCTTCAAATTCATTCTTAAAATCTACTCTAAAATATGAATTAAAATCTATACTTTCTGAATGAATGATGTCCTTTATTTCATCATTTTGGTACTCCATTTTTATCTAAAAAACATATTATAAAAAATTTGATTGGATATGCAGGTATTTGGAGATGAAAAAAAAAATCCCACCGACAGCAAGGTTATGGAATGAACACCCACAGAAAACCGACCTTATATCATCGTCCCTCAAAATGGGGAATGGTTTAAAATTCATATATGGAACAGTAATCCAATAAATACTAAAAAATATATCAACAAATATACTAAGTAAGATGTGGGGTCTAGTCAGCTGATTAAAGGCAACCGCCACTCAAATGAATTGCCCGAAATCTGTGATACCATTTTATGTAAATCCGTAGCTGAAAATTGTTCAGGTTGCCACCATGGACACTACGGTCATTACTAGCTACATGTATTGTGTTGATTAGCTGGGCCAAACCTTCACAAGGTGCAGGCTCATCATTTCAATTTGGTAGTCCAAAAGATTTTAATTTCAATGCTGCTTTCAACTGTTGTGAAAGCAGAAATTTGGTCGCTGAATCCACTGCTGAAGCAATTCATTGTTTCTCCAAATCAAAGGCAGATCGTTGCCCAGAGCAGGTATTTTTGCGTTATATAAATAATAATAATAATTAATTAATTACTTGTTACTGGTATGATTTTACAATACTGCTTGTAGCATCGTCTTGAATGTAAAATATCATATTAGCTAATACATTATATAAGCATAGACCAACTGATGCATAAACCAAACCAAACTAAGCCTTAAGTCCCATCAAATGGGATTGGCTACCAATTAATGCATATATAAATAAAAAAATAGCTAGCGTCTCCCTGCTGACAATTTTTGGTAGAGTTCATCAATTTTGACCTGCACAAAAATGAATAACTCAGAGAAGTCCATTTCTCACACACCACACAGTAATTGTTTGACAGTGATTAAAGGGAAGAGGAGAGCAATCCATTTTTACCTTGTAATACTTGTGCAGTTTTTCTCTTTTCTTCTTTAGTGTTGCAGTCACCAAATCCCTTTCAGCATCGAAAGGTAGAGGTTCCAGAATGATGCCTTTGATATATTCAAATCCTCTCAGCTGTTATGATTAAAAAAAAAAAAAAAAAAGCAGACGAATCAAATAAACAAACATTTTCATAATTTTCTTAGATCAAAATATATAGAAAAGGTAACTACTGGGTTGGAAAATGCCACATGCTCCGAAAGATTAGGCCACTTTCAGAACTTAAGATTGTAACTGTGTCCAATACTGCAATGGCATGTTAGAGCAATAGATAATACCTCCAAACAAATTAAATTTATGCATTTGCTCCACTGATCTTAACCCATTCCCTACAAATCAATTTTTACAATTTTTTATTACACATTTTTCCATAAAAAGTCAAAAAGTTAACCCAAACATCCATATTTTCTCCTTCAATTTTTTAGTCCAAAAAGACAAAAAGTGCATTTATTTAGGACAACCCAAACAACCCCTTAAGATTGTAAATGTGTCCAATACTGCAATGGCATGTTAGAGCAATAGATAATACCTCCAAACAAATTAAATTTATGCATTTGCTCCACTGATCTTAACCCAATGTTCTAAGAGAACCGTGGTTTATGATTTGATTCAAACCCAACCGAGTCATAGCTGGAAAGAGAGCTGGTCCACTATCAATAAAACTAGCCTTGAAAAAAATGAGAGTAAATGAAGGAAACACTAAGAAATACCTTGGTTCTCTCTGCTTTAGACTTTAGCTGAAGGAGAACATTATCTTGTAGCTGCTTAAGGAAGCATAGCTCCGAGAGGGAACCTCTATGGCCGTTTTGATAAGCCCGCCTTATTGTGTTCTCTTCATGTGGTACAACTACTGCAACTAGCATTGACCTGAAGCTGTCCCCATACACCCAAATCTAAAAGAGCCCCAGAACAAAAATGTTCAAACTTCCCCTTTGGAACCAAGAAACTTGAATGCACAACAAATTAAATTTCATACACAACCCAATAAAGAAGAGATATTGTTCGTGCTCACATCTTCAACAATAGGGGTGATACCATAAAATTTCTCCAAACATTCAACCGCAACATGCTCTCCTTGGGACAGCTTAATTAGATTTTTCTTCCTATCAGTGATTTTAACAACCCCATTTGTGAGCATTTCCCCCATGTCATCAGAAAAATACCAAGGAAAAACATTTAAGGAAAAGAAAGTTTGTTCATAAACAATTGTTCAATAGGGAATGAAGTATACAACCTGTATAAAACCACCCATCTTTAAATGCCTCTGCTGTCAACTCTGGATTCTTGTTGTACCCAGTGAAAGTAGTTTTCCCCCTCACACATATCTCGCCACACGAAGGGTCTCCAAGCGGATTGTAACCCATCTCTGGAACTTCCTCCAGACGCAACTCACTATACACAAACGGTGAACCAATAGTTCCAATCATGCACATTTCATCCGGAAAGCCAATCGTGGCTAAACCACAAGTCTCTGTCAACCCTGTATGGTACGTAATGTGATTTGTTGAAAATGTGCAAACAAGGTATAGGGAAATCTTAATCGACAAAGGTTCTATAGACTAAAACTTTTGTCCAAATTTTGTTTTTGCTAATTGTATCCAAAAAATAAAAAATAAAAAAATTGGGGGCTAATCCTCTGTATGTTCAGAAATAATGTTTACCATAGCCTTGTACCACATAAGCACAGGAAGTAACACGCAAGAACTCTTCCACCTCACTGCTTAAGGGTGCAGCTCCAGACACTATCAGACGAATCCGTCCACCTAATCTAGCTTTTACCTAAACAAAAACAGAAAGACAGTCAATTAGCAGTATCTTTAAAGAATGTGAATTGATTGATAATTATCATTTGAATCCCTAAATTTTTTGTATCCACCTTCCTAAAAGCTAGCAGATCAGCCAACCATGACGCGTTTTTGTGTTTGAATCCTAAATTCATCCAGGCAAGTTTGCTGTATGACAATGTAAAGGCACATAAGTATCATAAACTTAATCTGTATGCTACTTTACAAAAAGAGGCCCAACAGATCAACAACTTAACAAAAATGCCAACAAAACCAACAGAACCTATCTTACTATTGATAAAGGATGTCAAAAGCTCTCCTCCTCACTGGATTGAGTTCCTCTAGTGCTTTTATGACACCTGACGGACGAATACAATTGATTGTTAAGTAGCTTGTTCCAAATCAATGGAAATACATGTGTCAGATGACAAATGACTTGAAAAATTCCCATGCCTTCATGTATTCTTTCAAAAACTCGAGGTACACCAGCAAGAAAAGTCGGCCTTAACTCCATCAAATCATCCCTTAGTTCATTTATATCCTTCAAGTAATAGAATGAAGAAGTTGAAATAAAAAAATAAAAAAAAAAAGGAGTGAGAACTACAATTTGTGGAGAATTAGAAGTAAAATTGAGAACCTTATGCTCCATTTGGCTTATGTTCTTAATTTCATATCTCTTCTCTTATCTGTAGAACATTAAATAATCCATTTTCTGCCTTCTCCTTTTGCCCAATCTTTCCAAGAACCAAATGGAGCATTTATCTAAAATATTTAAATGAAGTTCCGGCAGCTTACCCCATGATAGTAGCCAACAGAAGCACCCTTACGGAAAAAATATTCTTCAATCATGCGGTCAAGGACATGAGCAAGAGGCAGGAAAGATATATAAACATCATCCGCCGTCATCTATCATGAGTCCCAGTGATGTCAGTATATAACAGAGAGAGAAAGAGGAAAACACAAACACTGATAACAGAAAATGTAGGCAATGAATAACTGAAAATGTTGGAACTCATGAACAAAAACATCTTGAGGTGTGAAAGCAAACATCAGACAGTCATGCGTCACAGTTACCTTGTCTTCAAATTGTCCCAGAAAGAGATCAACCCCTCTTATGTTCAGTGCAATGTTTTCATGTGTTAAAATAACACCTTTTGGATCTCCACTGGTGCCACTGGTGTACATAATTGTACATATGTTGAATGGCTGAGGTGGCAGAAGCTCTGATGGGTGCTCTTTTCCCTGACATACAAGAGACAGGAAATCAGCAATCAGACAACAAAAATGTCTAGAACCAAAAGTATGATGCTACAATGCAAATGAAGATGGAAAGTATATTCCAGAAGTTGTAGTTTCTCTTGGGTTTTGGCAGGGGAATTTTTTTTTTTTTTTTTTTTTTTAAGGATCTATGGAAACAGAACACCATACTTTTTTTTTTTTTTTTTTTTTTTTTTTTTTTTTGAAGATGATCTATGGAAACAGAACACCATACAGCATATATTCTAGCCATCTTCAAATTTAATATCCAAAACACAGAATTTTGTTTTCCACAAACAAGCTATCCAAACATTATCACACGCTTTAAGTCACAAAGCAGAGACAAAAATGATTAATGTCAGAGAAATTTAGGAATATATTAATCAGATTTTAAAACTAACCATGTGTTGGAACTCATTCCATGAGTACGATTTTATTTCAATGGAGGCAACTTTTTTTTTAACTTCTTCTGCCAATGAAGTGAAGCAAATAATCACTGCAACCAAAAGAAAACTTAGAAGAAGGGCTTTGAGCAGTTGCAACAAATCAAAAGGTATTCTCACATTTTAGCCATTTAGCGTGTGTACACTCTGGATTCAATATCTGCAAAGACAACGTATTCATTCAGAACCATACGAAGATGTTGAAATACAAGATCAAAACTAAGCACTTCAAGTTTTTTCAGTTCTCACTCCTTTTACTTTCTTATCTTGGACGAAAACAAAATCAATCTCAGCATGACCTATTATGAAGTTTACAGCACCTGGTCCTGCCTCCAAGACAACCCATACAAATATCAGATCATTTTCTCCAAATGAAGTAATGAACAAATTGCTGCAATCCAATAACCACTAATAAACTCAACAAGGAAAACCATGTTCCATTATACATGTCATAACCACTGTAAGTCATCAAAGGAAAAAAATAAATTTCACCCATTTCCTGTAAAAAACTTTAGATCTAAAAGGTTATAACACAAAGAGAAAGTCCAAAGAAACAAGATTAGCAAGGATACTTACAATATTAAGCTGAAACAAGAAAGTCTAAAGAAAGAAGTTTACTAAGGGTATCATAGAGAGGCACACAAATTAAACTGTGGGCACTGCAAGCCTACAAAAGGTTCCAAACCACTTAGTCATAGAAAATTTTTTGAAAAAAAAAAAAAAAAAAACAGAGAACTGGGGTAAATAGGGTTGAGAATGAATGACCTCCATTGCCACAATCCATTGAGGGCAATTTGACCCATAAATCCCTATTTGAGAGCCCTGTCACAAGAGGATTATTTATCCAATTAACAAACTGCCTACGGAAAACCTATGAATGAAATAACAAAATAAGCTAGAGTAGTCTGGTTTTCCACGTACAATAAGCAAAGTGTTAAAATCCACCTCACCTACTCCACTAAACCTTCACCCACTTAAACCTACTCCACTAAACCTAACCCACTACACCACTACCACCTGCAAAACTTCCTCATAAACTTCCTTGTACGTTTTCCAGAGATAAGGCCCAAACTAGAGGCCAAATAAAGCCATGCATTGCAACCCAAAAAAAAAAAAAAGCCCATAACAATGTACCCAAATAAATACCAGAAAAGCTATGTACACCAAAATGTAAATACCTTTCCATCATTAAATTCACGCCATCCAAGCATTCGATTCCTTGGATACTTTTCAACAAATACCCTGCACATCAAAATATTTATGTTTAATGGCACAAGAAGTAGGCGAGATGATAATACACTCAAAACCTATGAAGGACATGTACACTTACTGGAATGATACAGGTAGGTCGATATGATAAAATCTAAAAAAAATAAGTTACAAATATCACTTTTTAATTTAGAGTAATCCAAAAGGTAAAGATATAAATCAAAATTAAATGTCATTATATTAAATAATTTACAACATATCACTAATTTTAAATCATGCAAAGCATTAACATAAATACAGGAGATTTGGCTTTAACAGCACCAGTTGCTGCAACTTTTGGCTTGTATTTATTGGAACCCGTTACTGACCCAAAACAATACCTTGTGTCTGTTCAATTTTCTACTCTAATCAGAAGACTAAATGCCCCTATTGAAGATTCAAAGGGTGAGCACTAGAACTGAGAAAGGCTTGTAACTTGTGATGCTGAATGCCAAATTCATTGAAGCATGAATAAGGCAAAAACCAATTATGATCAATTCGATAGAGTTGAAGTTCAAACAGGCAGTCTTCTACAGGGAAAAAAGCTTCCATAAATCTTTAGTCGTGTTGCTTTAAATCCTTTCCCTTCATACACCACTCTGATAGGGTCACACAAGCAGTCTCCTACTGGGATCAAAGCTCGGTTTATATGAGAACCTCACCCAGATGAAAGATCACATGCTGCCTTTGATACGCTTCACCAAAAATCTGGATGTGCATGCCATAGAAGTCTCCTTTTATTGACTAGACAAATTGATCACACAAGTCCAAACTAGCTGAATTTGAATAGTAACATTATGTACCTTTCACAAGGCCTAATGAAAACTTCACTGATTGGTGACAGGAGGAGAAGTTCCATCTTGTGTTTATGAACAGTCTCGATAATGGTTTTGAGAGTACCCACCTCCATATGCTCAGGTTTATGCAGGGTGGACAGTTTTAAATAAGACTCCACATTCAATAGATAGAGAAGATGAAGATTTCGTCAACGATCTAAGTATGGATTTAGATTACTAGTCTGTAAGACAGCATGACGAAGAAAGATGATTGTGTGATGCAAGTTGAGTTCATATCTTCATGCTACTTCAGTTTTGAGATGTCAAATCTTGAAAGCCAAAAAGATGCAGTTTATTTTTTATCATGGACCAGAAGAAGCCTCGATCCAACTACCTGCATTCTGCATTTTCGCACGCCTTTCTTTCATCACCTTCCTCAACTCAATTACAGTGCCCCATATTCCCTGTTCACCATGTATCTTTGACAGCATGGAATATACAGCAGGATGATCTTTTTGAAGTGTGTTAATCCGCTTTGCTGCAAACTCCCCAAGTTCCAAACTTGAATGCAAGCTACATGCTGCAAGCAATGCACCCCACACAACCACATCAGGCTTAAAAGGCATTCCCTCTATCAATTTCACTGCTGTCTCTAGAAAACCTGCTCTCCCATATAGATCCACCATGCAAGCATAATGCTCCATCCCCGCTTTAATTCCATATTTTGTTGTCATAGAGTTAAAGTGCCTTTCGCCTTCTTCAACCAGTCCTCCATGCACGCACGCAGATAATACATTAACAAATGTAATTTGATCAGGCTTCACACCACCATTAATCATTCTCTCAAACTCTTCCAATGCTCTAGTTGCAAGGCCATGCCTTGCATAACCACCAATGACTGAGTTCCATGTCGCCAAGTCCTTCTTTGGTACGGATTCAAAAAAGCAGAATGCAGCTTCAATGTCCCCACATTTTGCATACATATCAACAAGAGCAGTTGATAAGACCACATCAAAAGGTATACCAGACTTCAACATGTTCGAGTGAACTTGCTTGCCCATGAGGAGAGAGGAGCAACCTGAACATGCGTCTAAAGCGCTTGAAAATGTAAATTGATTAGGCTGGGTTCCTGATTTCAACATCAATAGAAATAACTCCAAAGCATGCACAAACTTACCATTCTGCACATACCCACTTACCATAACAGTCCACAAAACCACATTTCTTTCACAATTTCCATTAAAGATCGATCGTGCTTCATCAAGCTCTTTATTCCTAATATACCCATTAACCAAAGTAGTCCAAGAAATAATATTCTTCTCAGGCATCATCTCAAAAGCTCTCCGAGCCTCCCCTGATAATCCTAACTCCATATAACCCAAAATCAACGCATTCCACGATGTGACATTTTTTGCTAAAATTTCATCAAACACTAGATATAAACCTTTGCGATCTCCCAAATCAGTGTAACCTCTCATCAATGAGGACCCAACAAACACACACGAATTTAGTGCTGAACGGAGTGCAAGGCCATGGAGTTGAGGGATCATAAGGTTAAATCCCGTGTTTGTAAGCGCGCTGATGACTATCGAAAAGGTGAAATCATTGGGTCTCAATCCATCTCTTCCCATACGTAGGAAACAATGGTAGATTCCTTGTGGGTTTTTGACCTTGTGCAAACCAGATAACATGGCGTTCCAAGAAACAACGTCTCTTAGGAGCATTTGATCGAACAAGTGATGAGCGTGTTGGATTTGGTCGTGTTTTATGTATCCGGAAAACATTGAATTCCAAGAGACGACGTCTCTCGAAAAGGGGTTTCGGTCAAACAGTTTGCGAGCATCGTTTATATTTCCCTCACGAATGTAACCATTGATCATGTAGTTCAGAGTGGCCGTTGAAATAGTACAAATTTGGCTGGAAGTTACAAGCAGTGCCCTGCCTAAAGTGCGCATTGGGCGCAATACGACTCCTCGACCTCCCCAGTCGCGTAAGGGGGGACAAATCAGAAATATAACAACCTTTTGTCGTGAATACCATTTTATTTTCATTTCATTTCATAGATAAAAACTCGCTCCAATTTAGATACTAAATTTGGTAAGTCGTCTAACCCAAAAAATGAACAGTACTATATGCACCAATTTATATATTAATTAATAGATTAATGGATGATATAATATAATTTTAAAGATTTGAGATTTTTATAATTTGTATAATAGGTGAGGTCATAGTATTGAAGTGACAATGTCATAGTATATGTTGATACACTAACTAACTGTTATACCAATTAGTGTGTGTAACACTACTACCAAAAAATAGATATAAAAAATTGAGATTGAATTGATATATTGTGAAGTTTATACTTGAATATATATTTGATCATTGTGAATAAATATTCTTGATATGCTGTATTGTTGTATTAATTAAATTTCATAAAATTGTGTGAAAATTATATGTTAAAGGTGAATTGATGAGAGATTGAAATCACTTTCTCAAATTAAGTAGATTTCTCAAATTCAGTAGAAATTTGATTTACACATTCCCTATGATAATCTCAAATTTTTTGAAAAAATTGAACCATTGAAAAAAAAACAAAAAAAAAAGGAAGATGAAATTACAATATTTTTATTTTTTTTTTCATTTTAATTTTCTAGTAGAGAATTCCTAGCTAAACCAAATATTTTAATAACATTGGTAAAATAATTTTATTAGTAGTAATAGAATCTTGATAATAAAATTTTTTTTTTCTCTTAGATTGATGCCATCCAAAATCAGAGTATTGAATAGAGATTTAAAAAAAATAAAAATAAAAATTGTGAAATTTTTGTACAAAGAGAATTATTCCTGAAATGATTTCAAAATAACTATATTCAATAGGTTATTTTGAGTCTCTTCAAATTCATTCTTAAAATCTACTCTAAAATATGAATTAAAATCTATACTTTCTGAATGAATGATGCCCTTTATTTCATCATTTTGGTACTCCATTTTTATCTAAAAAACATATTATAAAAAATTTGATTGGATGTGCAGGTATTTGGAGGATGAAACAGAAATAAAAATAAAAAAAATAAAAAATCCCACCGACAGCAAGGTTATGGAATGAACACCCACAGAAAACCGCCCCTATATCATCGTCCCTCAAAATGGGGAATGGTTTAAAATTCATATATGGAACGGTAATCCGATAAATACTAATAAATATATCAACAAATATACTAAGTAAGATGTGGGGTCTAGTCAGCTGATTAATGCTATGTTTGGTTGAGGGATTTGAGAAAGGATTTGGAAAAGGAAATGAAAAAGGTAGGTGAAATGTGAAAAAAATATACCTACATTTCACATAGTTTCACACACTTTTTCCCTTTCCCTTTCCAAATCCCTTCTCAAATCCCCCAACCAAACACACCGTAAAGGCAACAGCCACTCAAATGAATTGCCCGAAATCTGTGATACCATTTTATGTAAATCCGTAGCTGAAAATTGTTCAGGTTGCCACCATGGACACTACGGTCATTACTAGCTACATGTATTGTGTTGATTAGCTGGGCCAAACCTTCACAAGGTGCAAGCTCATCATTTCAATTTGGTTGTCCAAAAGATTTTAATTTCAATGCTTGCTTTCAGCTGTTGTGAAAGCAGAATTTTGGAAGCTCAATCCACTGCCGAAACAATTCATTGTTTCTCGAAATCAAAGGCAGATCGTTGCCCAGAGCAGGTATTTTTGCGTTATATAAATAATAATAAAAAAATTAATTAATTACTTGTTATTGGCATGGTCTTACAATACTTCTTGTAGCATCGTCTTGAATGTAAAATATCATATCAGCTAATACATTATATAAGCATAGACCAATTGATGCATAAACGAAACCAAACTAAGCCTTAAGTTCCATCAAATGGGATTGGCTACCAATTAATGCATATATAAATAAATCAATAGCTAGCGTCTCCCTGCTGACAATTTTTGGTGGAGTTCATCAATTTTGACCTGCACAAAAATGAATAACTCAGAGAAGTCCATTTCTCACACACCACAATAATTGTTTGACAGTGATTAAACGGAAAAGGAGAGCAATCCATTTTTACCTTGTAATACTTGTGCAGTTTATCTCTTTTCTTCTTTAGTGTGGCGGTCACCAAATCCCTTTCTGCATCGAAGGGTTGAGGTTCCAGAATGATGCCTTTGATATATTCAAATCCTCTCAGCTGTTATGATTAAAAAAAAAAAAGAAAAAGCAGACATTTTCATAATATTCTTTACCCACTTTTCTTAGATCAAAATGTATAGAAAAGGTAACTACTGGGTTGGAAAATGCCACATGCTCAGAAAAGATTAAGCCACTTTCAGAACTTAAGCTTGTAACTGTGTCCAATACTGCAATGGCATGTTAGAGCGATAGATAATACCTCCAAACAAATTAAATTTATGCATTTGCTCCACTGATCTTAACCCAATGTTCTAAGAAAACCAAGGTTTATGATTTGATTCAAACCCAACCGTGTCATAGCTGAAAAGAGAGCTGGTCCACTATCAATAAAACTAGCCTTGAAAAAAATGAGAGTAAATGAAGGAAACACTAAGAAATACCTTGGTTCTCTCTGCTGTAGACTTTAGCTGAAGCAGAACATTATCTTGTAGCTGCTTAAGGAAGCATAGCTCCGAGAGGGAACCTCTATGGCCGTTTTGATAAGCCCACCTTTTTGTGTTCTCTTCATGTGGTACAACAACTGCAACTAGCATTGACCTGAAGCTGTCCCCATACACCCAAATCTAAAAGAGCCCAAGAACAAAAATGTTCAAACTTCCACTTTGGAACCAAGAAACTTGAATGCACAACAAATTAAATTTCATACACAACCCAATAAAGAAGAGATATTGTTCGTGCTCACATCTTCAACAATAGGGGTGATACCATAAAATTTCTCCAAACATTCAACCGCAACATACTCTCCTTGGGATAGCTTAATTAGATTTTTCTTCCTATCAATGATTTTAACAACCCCATTTGGTAGCATTTCCCCTATGTCACCTGAAAAATACCAAGGAAAAACATTTAAAGAAAATAAAGTATGCTCATAAACAATTGCTCAATAGGGAATGAAGTATACAACCTGTATGAAACCACCCATCTTTAAATGCCTCTGCTGTCAACTCTGGATTCTTGTAGTACCCAGTGAAAGTAGTTTTTCCCCTCACACATATCTCACCACACGAAGGGTCTCCAAGTGGATTGTAACCCATCTCTGGAACTTCCTCCAGACGCAACTCACTATACACAAACGGTGAACCAACAGTTCCAATCATGCACATTTCATCCGGAAATCCAACAGTGGCTAAACCACAAGTCTCTGTCAACCCTGTATGGTACGTAATGTGATTTGTTGAAAATGTGCAAACAAGGTATACAGAAATCTTAATTGACAAAGGTTCTATAGACTAAAACTTTTGTCCAAATTTTGTTTTTGCTAATTCTATCCAAAAAAATAAAAAATAAAAAAATTGGGGGCTAAATTAGCCCGGCTAATCCTCTGTATGTTCAGAAATAATGTTTACCATAGCCTTGTACTACATAAGCACAGGAAGTAACACGCAAGAACTCTTCCACCTCACTGCTTAAGGGTGCAGCTCCAGACACTATCAGACGAATCCGTCCACCTAGTCTAGCTTTTACCTAAACAAAAACAGAAAGACAGTCAGTTAGCAGTATCTTTAAAGAATGTGAATTGATTGATAATTATGATTTGAATCCCTGAATTTTTTGTATTCACCTTCCTAAAAGCTAGCAGATCAGCCAACCACGACGCGTTTTTGTGTTTGAATCCTAAATTCATCCAGGCAAGTTTGCTGTATGCCAATGTAAAGGCACGTAAGTATCATAAACTTAATCTGTATGCTTCTTTACAAAAAGACACCCAACAGTTCAACAACTTAACAAAAATGCCAACAAAACCAACAGAACCTATCTTACTATTGATAAAGGATGTCAAAAGCTCTCCTCCTCACTGGATTGAGTTCCTCTAGTGCTTTTATGACACCTGACAGACGAATACAATTGATTGTTAAGCAGCTTGTTCCAAATCAATGGAAATACAAGTGTCAGATGACAAATGACTTGAAAAATTCCCATGCCTTCACGTATTCTTTCAAAAACTCGAGGTACACCAGCAAGAAAAGTCGGCCTTAACTCCATCAAATCATCCCTTAGTTCATTTATATCCTTCAAGTAATAGAATGAAGAAGTTGAAATAAAAAAATAAAAAAAAAAAGGAGTGAGAACTACAATTTGTGGAGAATTAGAAGTAAAATTGAGAACCTTATGCTCCATTTGGCTTATGTTCTTAATTTCATATCTCTTCTCTCATCTGTAGAACATTAAATAATCCATTTTCTGCCTTCTCCTTTTGCCCAATCTTTCCAAGAACCAAATGGAGCATTTATCTAAAATATTTAAATGAAGTTGCGGCAGCTTACCCCATGATAGTAGCCAACAGAAGCACCATTATGGAAAAAATATTCTTCAATCATGCGGTCAAGGACATGAGCAAGAGGCAGGAAAGATATATAAACATCATCCGCCGTCATCTATCATGAGTCCCAGTGGTGTCAGTATATAACAGAGAGAGAAAGAGGAAAACACAAACACTGATAACAGAAAATGTAGGCAATGAATAACTGAAAATGTTGGAACTCATGAACAAAAACATCTTGAGGTGTGAAAGCAAACATCAGACAGTCATGCGTCACAGTTACCTTGTCTTCAAATTGTCCCAGAAAGAGATCAACCCCTCTTACGTTCAGGGCAATGTTTTCATGTGTTAAAATAACACCTTTTGGATCTCCACTGGTGCCACTGGTGTACATAATTGTACATATGTTGAATGGCTGAGGTGGCAGAGGCTCTGATGGGTGTTCTTTTCCCTGACATACAAGAGACTGGAAATCAGCAATCAGACAACAAAAATGTCTAGAACCAAAAGTATGATGCTACAATGCAAACGAAGATGGAAAGTATATTCCAGAAGTTGTAGTTTCTCTTGGGTTTTGGCAGGGGAATTTTTTTTTTTTGAAGATGATCTATGGAAACAGAACACCATACAGCTTATATTCTAGCCATCTTCAAATTTAATATCCTAAACACAGAATTTTGTTTTCCACAAACAAGCTATCCAAACATTATCACACGCTTTAAGTCACAAAGCAGAGACATAAATGATTAATGCCAGAGAAATTTAGGAATATATCAATCGGATTTTAAAACTAACCATGTGTTGGAACTCATTCCATGAGTACGATTTTATTTCAATGGAGGCAGATTTTTTTTTAACTTCTTCTGCCAATGAAGTGAAGCAAACAATCACTGCAACCAAAAGAAAACTTAGAAGATGGGTTTTTGAGCAGTTGCAACAAATCAAAAGGTATTCTCACATTTCAGGCGTTTAGCGTGTGTACACTCTGGATTCAATATCTGCAAAGACAAAGTATTCATTCAAAACCATTACGAAGATGTTGAAATACGAGATCAAAACTAAGCACTTCAAGTTTTTTCAGTTCTCACTTCTTTTACTTTCTTATCTTGGACGAAAACAAAATCAATCTCAGCATGACCTATTATGAAGTTTACAGCACCTGGCCCTGCCTCCAAGACAATCCATTCAAATATCAGATCATTTTCTCCAAATGAGGTAATGAACAAATTGCTGCAATCCAATAACTACTAATAAACTCAACAAGGAAAACCATGTTCCATTATACATGTCATAACCACTGTAAGTCATCAAAGGAAAAAAATAAATTTCACCCATTTCCTGTAAAGAAACTTTAGATCTAAAAGGTAAAAACACAGAGAGAGTCCAAAGAAACAAGATTAGCAAGGATGCTTAAAATATTAAGCTGAAACAGGAAAGTCTAAAGAAAGAAGTTTACCAAGGGTGTCATAGAGAGGCACACAAATTAAACTGTGGGCACTGCAAGCCTACAAAAGGTTCCAAACCACTTAGTCATAGAAAATTTTTGGGAAAAAAAAAAAAGAAAAGAAAAAAAGAGAACTGGGGTAAATAGGGTTGAGAATGAATGACCTCCATTGCCACGATCCATTGAGGGCAATTTGACCCATAAATCCCAATTCGAGAGCCCTGTCACAAGAGGATTATTTATCCAATTAACAAACTGCCTACGGAAAACCTATGAATGAAATAACTAAATAAGCTAGAGTAGTCTGGTTTTCCCATGTATAATAAGCAAAGAAGTAGAAAGTAATAGCAAATAGATATGTATATGCTTACAGGTTTGGCACCAGATGCCCGTAATGCAGAACCAACATGCAAAACTTCCTCATAAACTTCCTTGTACGTTTTCCAGAGATAAGGCCCAAACTAGAGGCCAAATAAAGCCATGCAGTTGCAACCAACAAAAAATAAAAAACCATAACAATGTACCCAAATAAATACCAGAAAAGCTATGTACACCAATATGTAAATACCTTTCCATCACTAAATTCACGCCATCCAAGCATTCGATTCCTTGGATACTTTTCAACAGATACCCTGCACATCAAAATATTTATGTTTAATGGCACAAGAAGTAGGCGAGATGATAATACACTCAAAACCTATGAAGTACATGTACAGTTATTGGAATGATACAAGTAGGTCGATATGATAAAATCTAAAAAAAATAAGGTACAAGTATCACTTTTTAATTTAGAGTAACCCAAAAGGTAAAGATATAAATCAAAATTAAATGTCATTAAATTAAATAATTTATAACATATCACTAATTTTAAATCATGCAAAGCATTAAAATAAATATGGAAGATTTGGTGATAGACCCCTCAGTGTTGAACTTGTCTTTCAAAAGGACAAGAATTATATAGATCCTTTCAAAACCTCTTAATATTTTAAAACTCATTTATTTTACTATAATACCCTCATATATGTGTGTGTGTATCTATCAACTTGTAATCACTCTCTCTCATCTCAATCTCTCTTTTCTCTGTCTCACACTTATCACTATTCTCTTCATCAGTGTTAGGATCAAAGACACCCAGAGAATTATCTCACACACACAGAGAACACAATATTTACGTGGTTCGGCCCAATGCCTACATCCACGGACAGAAATGAGAATTATCACTAAAATGGAGCAAAAATACAATTACAGAGGAGGAGATGAAACTCACTCAACTCACAACTCTCACTCTCCAATTTCTGATGATACAAACCTCTCCTCACTCATCTCAATTTATAACCAAGAGAGGAGGAGTAGGTGAAGTGCTAGCCATAATTGGCCAAGGTAGTGCCACCCTCACTATCTTCCTTTAGTGAGTTGGTGTAGCCCTCCACCACCTTCTTTTACAACATGGTGCTACCTACACTATGTGAATGGTGGGCTCATTACCATGTGGGTAGTGGATGGAGCCAACAATCAGTGCCATCATTGCTCTCCATCGGCACCACCGCCGCTGATCATGGAACTCTTTCTCTACCATCTTCATCACCACCATCATTTGTTGCATCCATAACTTCAAATCTGAGATGATTCACAATGGTCGTCATTGGAAAATGACGATTTGCAACGGTTCGCAAACCTCAAATCTAATAGCCTTCACTTTCTCTCTCTCTCTCTCTCTCTCACTTTCTTCTTCTTCTCTTGATCCTCTGTTTTCGAGCAATCCTCACAACTTGTTTCAAAGTAGAATTTTACTTTGTAATTAAAAAAAAAGAGAGAGAGAGTAAAATTTTACTCTGAATCAGAGTAAAATTTACTATTATTCAAAGTAAAATTTTACTGTCATTAAACAGATCAGTATGTTGTTAAATATAATAAAATTTTACTGTTACGAAAACAGAGTACATATTAAATGAATGAACCAGAGTCAAATTTTACTTTTAGATATATGAACAAACAAACAAAAAAAACTCTTAATTTTTCATTACAATATCTTGATTTCTCATTTTTCTGTCAAATCTAAGTTTTTTTTTTTTTTTAATCTCTGATTTGAAGTTATTGATCTCAAATATGAGTTCGTAAGTATCAAATTTAATATGGTGGTGGTTTAACGGTAAAAATGGTGGTTGCCGGCCAACGGTTAGGATGAGCGACTTTGATAGATGATGAAGATAGTAGAGACGATGAACAACCATCGAGTTGGTGAAGAGAGAGAGAGAGAGAAAGAAAGAGAGAGAGAGTGAGTGTGCTGTAAAAGAAATGAAAGAAAGAGGGGGTATAATGATAAAGTAAAATATTCAGGCCCCGTTTGGGGACTTACCTTTTTAGCCAAAAAGCTAAAAAGTTACCCTTTTAGCCAAAAAGCCAACAATTCATACTAAAAAGTCAAAGATTCTCTTTTCTCTCTACTTTTTGCACATCTTTTCGTAATTAGCTAAAAAGTCATCCCAAACATAAAAGTTGTTTTTACCTACTTTTTTAGCCAAATAGCCAAAAAGTTACTAAATTAGCATGTTCCCAAACGAGGCCTCAAATAACAAATTTTGTCCTTTATATATAATTTTATAATTATAAGAGGGTTTTGAAAGTACTAAATTTTTTTTTTCTGTCCTTTTAACAAGAAAAGGAAGCTAAAAGGGGTTTATGGCCAAATTTTCAACAAATTTTACGGTGTATTAGAATAACATATTATTTTGATTGAGGTACAGTATGATTTAGGCATACATACGTCTTGAATACAGCAAAAATTAAGAAGAAAAAATTTGATACGTGTTTTGTATATCCAATAAGTATACAAAAGTACTATACAAAGTACCACTACCTGATAAGTACTCATTACAGATTCCGCATAAACATTTCAAAAACAGTCTTAATTCACATAAATTTTGAAACTTTGAGAGAAAAGATAGCTTAATGTGGAATTGAATTACCTTAAGACATCCCAAGCTGTAGATAATTCAGGATCTGGCGGTGGAAAATCATTCTTGGACAGTATATTTCGATATATGGGGCCAACTGATGGCTTCCCATCTCGGTCTTCGCTTCCCTCCTCAACCATAACAGCAAACATCTCCATTCTTCTTCTCTAGTCCGCAAAACCTGCACATCCAGTGCCCCAAACACACACACTCTCTAAATTAAAAAAAGGTTCAAAAGAAAATGAAGTAACACTCTCACCTAGACCAAAAAGCCATGAAAAGTTCAGAAAATGAAAATAGTGACAATTAATTACGTAGTAAAGTGATTTTCCACGGAAAGAAACTACGTGACTCCCCTGTTTTAGTGGGTAGTCTCGTAGTCCTCCTCATTTACACAAATGTGTGTTTAAGCAGAAGCATATGTGTTTGTGTGTGTGTAGACAGGCACATAGAGAGAGAGAGAGAGAGAGAGAGAGTGGATGATGAGATTCTCCAACCTTGAAATGGCGGTGGAGGTGGAGGTGGAGGTGGTGGTGATTTTGGGGGTGAAGTTTATAAAGAAGCGACAAGCAAACCTGTGAAGAAGGTGATGAAAGCAACAAAAGTAATAAACACCTGTGAGGAGGAGGACGATGAGGTAGTTGAATTTAATGCATCCCACATTGACTTCTTCTTCTTCCTCTATGTAATTCCCGTCACAGACACACAAGTTTAATTTTTAAACCAAATTTTCATCTGCTTTTAGAAAAAAATTTAAGCATGCACGAACCACACAAATGAGAAAATAAGGAAAGACCAAGTTATTGAATTGCACGTTAACCATCTTTATGTAGTTAGATGAGGGGTCTTCCTCTGTATCCCATAGAAAAAAGTGGAGTAACATGTTGTACTTGCAAACTCAATACTAAGGGCATCCGTATCAGATTCATAAATTTTGAATTAAAGTATAATTAAAAATGTACTTTTATATTTTATTTAACATTTTTTTTTATGTACACACTCATCTGGTTTTTTATTTTAAAATTTAATGTCATAAAATATTATTTTTATTCATTTTCTTTTCTATTTAAATATTTTTTTTCTTAAAATTAACTGACCTCAAAGTAGTAAAAGAACACTGGGTAGTCAATCGGGTGCTCGACCACTTAGTGAAAATTGCCTAGTTTTAACAAATGGAAGAGATCTTTGGTGGTTGACGAAATATGAATAGTACATCACTACATCAAGTAATGTACTGTAGCAACGTCGAATTTTTTTTTTGTTGTTGTAACTAGCTTGATGCAAGAGTATTTGTGGACATTGTCTACCTAATATAACTCCAAAACTAGTACAACAAGGTTGATACTAATGCTCTAACAATCACAATATTATATTTTTATGATATTTATAATATTAATTGATAAAAATTTATAATTATTCATTTTGATTACTTTTAATGTTAAGTGATTTATATTGGAAAAATTATCACACAGTGCTACTTTCAAAAAAATTATTACAATTTCATGGTAAAAATTATGAATTTAATAATTAATATTTATAAAGTTACCACTTATGTGCAATTATTTTTTAGAATTTAAATCGAATTAAAATTTCCCCATTTATATTTGTGTCCCCTTCTTAGGCCCTGTTTGGTGCAGCTTAAAAGCTGCTTATTTCAGCTTTCAGCTTAATTTAAGCTATTTTGATGTGTTTGGTTTAGCATATAGCTTATAGCTTATAGCTTATAACTTTTTGGAAGTCAGAAATCAGCTTATTCTTTGAGTGGGGCAGGAGATACTTAATTTATAAGTCAGCAATCAGCTTATGTTCATAGTTATAAGCTATAGCTCTGTTTGGTAGAGCTGTGGGAAAGTGCTTATACCTTATGCCTAAACAGCTTATAGCTTATAACTTTCAGCTTAAACTGATTTCCAGCTTATTCTTAAAGCATCTCCTGCCCCACTCAAAGAATAAGCTGATTTCTGACTTCCACAAAGCTATAAGTTATAAGCTATAAGCTAAACCAAACACATCAAAATAGCTTAAATTAAGCTGAAAGCTGAAATAAGCTGTAAATAATTTCTGCCAAACAGGCACTATAAGCTGTTTAAGCATAAGCTATAAGTACTTTTCCACAGCTCTACCAAACAGGACCTTACTCATGTTATAAAACAAGAAGGGGAAAAAATTAAGGGATTCTTTTTTTTGGAAAATATATTTAAAAAAATAATTACAAATCAATGAAAAATTTTATAAATATTAATAATTAAAATTATAAATTTTTTCATGAATATGTAATTTTTTTTTTTTTTCAAAATTTCACTATGGTGTAATTACTCCTCCCTTTTTTTCTCTACCTTTAAAATTTAAAAGTCACCCTTTTGGAGAAATTACCAGTAAATCCCAAATCAGGGAATGATGATTCATTTAGTCCTATATTTTTTCTTATGAACCATTTAGTCCTATTTAATTGGTAAGAAATATTTTCTTTTGATTTGGCATGGGCGGAGTTTACACATTTACCCTTGTTATGATTTTGGTGGATTCTTTTTTGCTAATTTGTGTGTAATGATTGAGATGGTAACATTTTACATTTTCATTTTTGTGTGTTTGATTTTTGTAAAGTGATATACGGTGGATGAGTTTCAATTGCTGATGTTGTTTTCTTCATTAATATTGATATGGTTAACATTACATTTTTACTACCACAAATGTTATTAACATTTCATATCACCACCAACATCCATACACTCAAAAAACAGGGGATTGAGTGGTACATTACAACATAACAAATCAAAAAAAAATGATACTGACACTACACTTCATTTTTTATTATCAATATGAGTAACATGTACTTTCAAAAATTTACAGTTCTTACACACAAATGCAAATACCATCAACATATATAAAAAAACACAGTTTCCTCATAAGCACGCCTAATTAAGGGAATGGTATAAGCTGCTGCGAATGTCCTTCAACGTTCTACAAAATTATTAACGGAACATATATGCTCGCTTTTGTTATATTATGACAAGCATATCGTTTTTCTCTTTACACCCTATCATCGTCATTAAAAAAATAGAACATTTCACTTTGTCCTGTCACCTACAGAAGAATGACCAACTGTTAGTGGTAGGGACGGGGTAATGTGTACCTTCTTGTCCAAACGTGGGAACTAGCATTCAATAAAAAAAATTTTGCTAACCATGTCCATCACGTACCATCACTATCAACGCCACACATTTCAGCCAGAAACACCAACACGAACGTCAAAACATAACCAAACGACACCATCAATTGTGCATTCAATCTCACTCACATTGCGGTGTAACACAACATATAAAGTAAATGTACCGATGTAAATATTTACACTTCCCTTTCACTCTCAAGAAGCACGACCCTCCAACCAACATACTGATATACATTACACATAACCCACCACATCGCAAAATGACACTATCATATTGAAAATGCATGTATTGTAATTTTATTACATTTGGGCGATACAATCGTAACTCCAAATCAGAAGGGGGTCTCGACCGATGTGCCAAATCCAGTTGGTTCGTGCCACATTCAATACTGAAAATAAGACATATATCACTATTTCTAAGTCGCACACCTTCTCTACCAATGTAGAACTTCTCGTCCGAACGGTTGTATGTTTGTATAATGCAAGACACCAAGTCATCACACTTTTTGAATGAGTTTGGCTTTAAATTGTGCTTACGAACCACATATATCATCATCCAAAAAGGTGTTCTCTCTTCAAGTGCCGTATGTGTCCTTCACCCAATTCAACCTCACTAACAGTTTTAATGATCCCAGTTATGTTCGAGTGATACATCAGTCTTCCTGCCTCAACCACCAATTTTTTAACCATCGAAACAATACCTGTGACAACCGGATCTTGTTTTTTTTCCTTTTCTTTCATTTTCACTCCGCTTTCTTTTCGCTCTCATTGGATTTGAAACATTCGGAAGTTATTCCCAAATAAAGTCCTTGTTCTTGTTTTACTTGTGTTGAAGTTCCTTTATTCCCGGGGAGTGTGAGGTCAGATTTGGAGCGCCCGGGAATCAAGTCAACAAATTCTGGGCTAGAAACCAAGGGCCGCACGTGCGTGGCCTTGGGCCGCACATGCGGGAGAGGAGCCACACGTGTGGGGAGTAAGGCCGCACGTGCGGAATTCAGGAGAAATGGGAGGCTGCACACTGCCTAAAAGGCAGGTGCGGAGGGAGGTGCGGCAGAAGGCCACCGCATGTGTGGGGATGAAGGCCACACGTGCGGGGAGGGGCACTCCGCGAGTGTGCGGCAGTCTGGGCAGATCCGAGGCTCTGTTTTCTTTCTTCTTTTGGGCTGTTTGTACATCATATTAACTCATCCCTCTCTCCCTAAAAATATATCTCTCTATATTTCCACCTCAAACCAAGATCAAAACGCTTGATCTTCTTTTATTTACTTGAGATTCAACCTTGGCTTCTTCATCAAAAGTTCAAAACTCCTCAAGAACTTCATTGTGTGTGGTGGAGATCTCCTTTCAACATCATCTAAGCTAGGGTTTCATTCTATTTCTTTATCAAACCTTGAGGTAGGGATTTCTTGAGTTATATATACAAGTTTTGCTATAATGTTGTTGATTTAAAAGTTTTCTTGAAATTTGGGATGTTGATTTTGATTTTGCTCTCTTTGTAGAGAGAGTTTTGAAGAAGTGGGTTTAAATCTCAACCCCTTTTTAATCCATGAGGATGATCATTTATAAAACTCTAAAAACGTGATTTTGGTGGGATTTCACCAAGGAAAATGGGAAATGTTTAATTGGGATGTGAAACCCTAGTAAATTGGGGATTTTGGAAATAAGATAATGCCTATGAAATTCTTTATTGTCTTGTGTCAAGAGGATGGATGGAAGTAGATTTCATTACATGTTTAGGAAAATAACAATCTATTTGAAGTATAAAAAAGGAGATGTATTGCAACATATTTGTTAATTACTTGAACATGTATTGTTAGGAAGTGGTGAATGGTTGTATACAATGAAATGTGAGGATTGTAAAACCTTGAGAATTAATGTTGAAAACACCACATGTAATCTTGAAAAGGGCTAACTTGTTATGAATTGTGCATGGTGAGAGATTGTGGTTGCTATGCATTGATGGCACATAATCAATTGTGAAATTACATTGAAAAGAAGAAATGAGAAACTTAAGTATTTGATATTGTTGTAGAGACGTTTGAAATGGAGAAATGTTATGAAATATTAAGTAACACATCATATTCTCATTTGATTTATCATCATTATTGCATATCTTGAAATGAGTTGGAAACACGTTTACTTTGAGAAAGATTTATGTTGAAATGAGAACTATGGAAATATGTTATGGGGTAAATACGTTGGTAAGTCCAGTTAGGAGGTGTAGATGAATTCGATAAGTTGGCCTGAGTGTCCATGGTAAAAGACCAGAAACCCGCGCGGATAGGTGTCGAGCCTTCCGGTTAATACCAGTAAAAATGACAATTTGGTAATACTTGTATAGTCTACTTGCAGACACCAACCTAGGGATTACCACTGTCGTATTTACTGCCCCTATTGATTGAAATTGGAAGTTTTGGAAATGTGTTGAGATTGCAAACAACTATTGAAAAATGGTAATCTTTAAGAAGAGCATGAAATGAAATTTCT